ATATATATTTAACATCTTATGGAGGAGTTAACTTTCTGGTGAGGGCATAGCATCCATAAAGAATATCTCTGCTTATCTTGACATAGTTTTACATATAGTTTTATTAATGTAATATTTTTGTGCAAAGGCATCGGATAGAGTCCTGCATGTTAAAGGATTAGGTCCAGAATAAAAAATTCCTTATAATTTACTCATCCCAATATCATCCAAGATGTTCATGTCTTTCTTTCTTCAGTCGAAAATAAACTAAGGTTTTTGAGGAAAACATTCCTAGATTTTTCTCCATATAGTGGACTTCAATGGTGGCCAACGGGTTGAAGGTCCAAATTACAGTTTCATTGCAGCTTCAAAGGGCTCTACATGATCCCAGCTGAGGAATAAAGCTCTTATCTAGCGAAACAATGTCATTTTCTTAAAAATAAAAATGTATATACTTCGGTCATTTTCTAAAAAAACAAACAAAAACCATTTATATACTTTTTAACCATATTACTTGGAAAGGTCATGCGTGACATCGGCAGAAGTGCAGACCCAGTGTTTACAAACGAACGTGCAAAGAAAGTCAGACACCCTTTACAAAAAGGGAACATTGATGTCGGACGATTTTGAAGTTGGAGGAGAAAATTAGATGTTTTTCGCCCTGCCCTACCTTTTTGAACCAAAGTGTACAGACAAAGAACTAACTGCGCATGACTTTTTCATTGTGATTACGTAATGCGTGAAGACGTGCATGCGCATCACAGAGCTAGTGCAAAATTAGCATTTGTGGTTAAAAAGTATATACATTTTTATTTTTAAGAAAATGACAGATCGTTTTGCTAGATAAGAGCCTTATTCCTCGCTGGGATCGTGTAGAGCACTTTGAAGTTGCAAAGAAACTGCAATTTGGACCTTCAAACCGTTGGCCACCGCTGAAGTCCACTATATGGAGAAAAATCCTGGAATATTTTCCTCAAAAACCTTAATTTCTTTTCGACTGAAGAAAGAAAGACATGAACATTCTGTATGATATGGGGGTGAGTAAATTATCAGGAAATTTTTATTCTGGAAGTGGACTAATACTTTAAAGAGAATCATAGATTTTAATTTTTTTTTCTGAAAAACATGGCTTTAACACTTTCTGCAATAAGTGAGAGAGTCATTGGTGGTTATTTATTTAATATGTTAATATTACTATGTTAATAAGTTGTAGAGAGATTGAGTGAATAATTACAAACATCACATGTTTAGACTATAGAGGAATCACCGCATGATTGCCAGTTGTCGTGGGTGTGAGTAAGCGTAACCTCTTGCACAAAGACAGACATCTCATTGTAAAAATGGTAATGTCAGCCGTTTTTAATAACCCCTCAATCAAATGTTTGTCAAAGCAGAACCAAATTCTCGTAGTACAAGGTATTGATGCTTTCACCATCACTAGGGGTTCCTGGGTGTCTTTTAGGCCTTGTTCACACTGGCAGCCCAAATTGTGTGTTTTTTTAAAGCCCAAATGCCATGATGTATATAAGCCTCCTTACAGATAGTTTGCTGCATCTGGTTGGGAAAATGACAGTGATTGAATTAAATTTGTTTCTTGGACAGTCTTTCTTAAATACATTGGATTTGAACAACAATTGTCTGCAGTGTGAACATAAGATGTTTCTATAGCTTTTGTTTGTCAGTTTAGAGGGCTGATGGTTTTAGATCAATGTGATTTTTGAATTGTAAATGAGTCATAACTTCAGTAATGTTCTCTCCCAAAACATCCTTATAATTCCTGTTAGAAAATGTGTCATTTGATGTGGTAATAGTGCCTTGTGGTTTTGGTGTACAGAGGGATTGTAATCACATTGTTTTGGTCATATCTAATAAGTGAGCAAGAGTTTCATTCTGTTGGTAAGTGTATGTCTTTTTACCTCAGCATGTCTTTTTTTTAAATATTTAATTAGCCTTTGAATGTCGTAATTACTGTCTAGTTGAAATTACATATTGTTCAGTGCTTGTTTTTTCATTTAAAAATTTTTTTAATTGCTACAATGATGTTTATTTTTTTTATCATCCAAGATGTTCATGTCTTTCTTTCTTCAGTCGAAAATAAACTAAGGTTTTTGAGGAAAACATTCCTAGATTTTTCTCCATATAGTGGACTTCAATGGTGGCCAACGGGTTGAAGGTCCAAATTACAGTTTCATTGCAGCTTCAAAGGGCTCTACATGATCCCAGCTGAGGAATAAAGCTCTTATCTAGCGAAACAATGTCATTTTCTTAAAAATAAAAATGTATATACTTCGGTCATTTTCTAAAAAAACAAACAAAAACCATTTATATACTTTTTAACCATATTACTTGGAAAGGTCATGCGTGACATCGGCAGAAGTGCAGACCCAGTGTTTACAAACGAACGTGCAAAGAAAGTCAGACACCCTTTACAAAAAGGGAACATTGATGTCGGACGATTTTGAAGTTGGAGGAGAAAATTAGATGTTTTTCGCCCTGCCCTACCTTTTTGAACCAAAGTGTACAGACAAAGAACTAACTGCGCATGACTTTTTCATTGTGATTACGTAATGCGTGAAGACGTGCATGCGCATCACAGAGCTAGTGCAAAATTAGCATTTGTGGTTAAAAAGTATATACATTTTTATTTTTAAGAAAATGACAGATCGTTTTGCTAGATAAGAGCCTTATTCCTCGCTGGGATCGTGTAGAGCACTTTGAAGTTGCAAAGAAACTGCAATTTGGACCTTCAAACCGTTGGCCACCGCTAAAGTCCACTATATGGAGAAAAATCCTGGAATATTTTCCTCAAAAACCTTAATTTCTTTTCGACTGAAGAAAGAAAGACATGAACATTCTGTATGATATGGGGGTGAGTAAATTATCAGGAAATTTTTATTCTGGAAGTGGACTAATACTTTAAAGAGAATCATAGATTTTAATTTTTTTTTCTGAAAAACATGGCTTTAACACTTTCTGCAATAAGTGAGAGAGTCATTGGTGGTTATTTATTTAATATGTTAATATTACTATGTTAATAAGTTGTAGAGAGATTGAGTGAATAATTACAAACATCACATGTTTAGACTATAGAGGAATTTGCACTTTAGAGTTAATTAACAGATATTTTAAAGTTTAACTAGTTGACTTAAGTGGAATGCAGTCAGTTCATACTCCCTTAATATATTTTTACGTAACTGAGAACTCTCCAAACCATGCACTGATAAATGGAGCTGTTGTGTAATTGCTCATGTTTCTTTTTGGTAGCCTTTTTCCAGGGCGCTAACAAACTGCTCCTGAACGAACGAGCTAACTGGGTGCATCTAAAGGAGTTTGCCAGTAAAAATGCTGCCAACGCTCTTTCTGTTGCCAACATGCTCATGGGCATGGCCTCAATCCTCTGCAGTCTCAATGGGTATGCATTCATGCTTTTGATTTTGCAGAGAAAACCAAATGCATACAAAAATATAACAATAAAAATTCAAAAAGTGAATGTTGTGTTAGAAAGTAGAAAGAAGGAATTTCAAACAACAGCTAAAAAAGTTTGCTCTTTACAGTGAAGTTTGTTTTGTTTAACTTTCTCAATGTTTTGTACTTTCTTTATGGCCCTGCCACCATTGTTATTCTCAGCCATCATCATGCCTCGTGCTGGCTGGTTCTGATCGGTTACCTGCTGGATTTGGCAGATGGAGCAGTTGCTAGGCAACTAAATGCTGTTCTGCACTGGGTGAGTAGTGTTGATTGTCCTTCAATACAAGTGAGTGGGGCCAGGGGTGAGTCTTGTTGCTTTAGACATCTTTAGATGCTTTCATCTACAGTCCCCTTATGGAGCACCACTTATAAATAAAATGAAGGGAAGGAATAAATGATCAGTAATCCTTAATGATCCATTGGATTAATAACCCAAATGTAAACATGTAAAAAAAAAAAAAAAGGCAGTTGGCAAATTGTTTGGAAAAGCAATTAGCATTTAAATGTTTTTTTTTTTTTTACATTATTATAGTTTTAACTACATTTTGAAACATTAAATATATCAATGAATATTAATTTATTGTTTTAAAATATGCAATAAATGAGAGTCAGTTATTATTACCACCATATACAGTGTGTTTTACCAGGACCACGGTGTTACAACACCAAACTACAAGGTAAACACAGATTAAACAGGATTAAATAAACTACTAAAAATTTAAATAAAAACTACAAAGAATTAAAATTATGTAAGAATCAAATAAGAACTAGAATAAGGGCCGATAATATTACACAGATACACAGGACTACAAAAAACTGCATATGTGCAAATAAACGAAAAAAGCGTAGTATAGAACAAAGCACGGTGAGGACAATGCAGCGTTTTAAAATTCAGCTATGTCTGTTAGGTTTTAATAGGTATTTTTAAAAATATAAGTACAATGTAAAAACATGTATGTACACAATAAGTGCATTGTACCAAATGATTAATTTAAATGTAAGTACATAGTAGTTAAGGCCACCTAATATAAAGTGGGACCGGTTTTAAATATGACTGTTAATTTGTCCATTCAAAAAACAAGAAGTTTGTTTTGCGGCGATAGCCTAGTGGGCAGCGCACTGACATATAATGCTGCTGCGTTACGGGCATCCCGATTTTTCACAATCCCACCCTTCTCTCTCTCTCCAGCTTTGCTTCCTGTTTACTCTACACTGTCCTATCGTAATAAAGGCAAAACGCCAAAAATAAATCTTTAAAAAAGCTGAAAGTTTGAATTATTACATTGATCATCTATTCCTACATTTTTTATACCACTGCTATGGTATAAAACTAAATCAATTTCTGCTAAATCAAATAAAAATTATTAATAAATAAATCCATAGGTTTTTTTCTTAGTGTAATATTTAAAATGAAGTCACAACCTTGCCAGCTCTGTAGTGGAAAACCAGTGGCTTGTGTGCAGGTGCTCACATCCACTCAGCTGCCTGAAATAGTTTTGTGGTGCCCTCACAGTGCCAAGTCACCTGTACTCTTGAGCTGCATACTGTTGCCTGTTGTTCTGCATGATCTCACTGATGGGTGTTTTGCTTCCCTTTTTTGTCAATTGAACAGTTTGTTTGTGATGAAGCAGCCTAATTCAGGGGGATTATGTTCTGATTGTCTGTTAAATCCTGATGCTTTGGACCCCCAGCATATCTGACATTGCTCAAATTGTTGACCACGAGATTGAAATTCCTGCCCGTTTGTTTGGACACACTCAAATGTCCCAACCTGATGAAAACACTGCAACCTCACTAGCGATAAAGCGAGTCCTGAATGTTTTTTGTAGATTATGATAAGCTCTTTTGGAGTAGCATGAAAATTTCTCATGGTTCATTTTCATTTTTGAGTGAACTTGTCTCGATCTGGCAAGGATGAGGTGAGACAAGGATCTAAATGCAGCAGATTATTTAATAAACAATAAGGCAGAACCACACAACAGCTATACAATAGAATATACAGACAACAACCAACAAACCAAGACTGAACCACAGGGGTATAAACAAAGCCACTAGAAGGCAAGCCTGCAACCATTAAGCCCCGTTCACACCGCCAGCGACACACAGCGACAAAGTGACATACTCCTATTCATTTTCAATGGAGAGCTGGCGACTTCCGGCGACACGAGCGACAGTGACCGTTGGCGACAGAATGTGGGCGTGTCAAGCGATGCGAGTCAAGCGACAAAAGTTAAGAAATGTTTAACTTCATGCAAATGAACAGCGAATTTCGCGAGCGACAACCAATAGGAGTGAAGAATCTGTCAGTGGCACTCACACGTCACTGCCTCGAGTGCAGGCAAGACAGGACAGATTTCCGGAGCGATTTCACTGTTTTATATTATTTTACTGTAACCACATACATGGATATAAAAAAATGATGCGTAGAAAATAAACTGTTGGCTGTTTAAGTGAGTTTGATTCATACATTGATGGTTCGAGTTGTTAATTATATGATGCAGTGAGCAGTTTAGCACCAGTTAATGATTTAATGCACTAGCACTGCTGAAGTTTATATAGCAACACTCTCCAACAGCTGAATGGTACTTTTATTTATTTTAAGTCTAATTCCTAGTCATATTAGAATGATATCTTAGTTTTACTGGCAATATATATAGTTTGTGATTGCATTTTCTAAAGATATATCCAGACGTGCAGTCTGCCAATAACATTCGAGGTGGCGCTCAAGCACAAAACGGTCTTGCCGAGCACACATTGATACCTAACGAAAAAGAGGAAGTAAGTAGGCCAAGAAGATGCATCGAGGCAAGATGAATGTAGCTGCTGGTCTCATTGGTGTCTGAACACAAAGGGCTTTATGACAAACGCGACAGCGACTACAAAAATCTCGATAAGAGGGATTTGTTATGGAGAGGAATTGCAGATCAAATAGGATTCGATGTGTACCGGGGTATTTCTGTTTTTCATTAAGCGCCATCTAATGTCAGGGAGTGAATTTGCACGTTCACTCGGCTCATCGCCTGCGAAAACCGCTTGGGCTTGGGTCTTGAACACAAAAGACGCGTCAAAAAACGTCGGTGATAAGCGCGCGCGATAATCGTCCCGGTGTGTACGAGGCTTTAGCCAAAAAAAGCGTAACGGCTAATGCTAATGGAAAGGAGACCAGAGGCCGTTTTATTTGAATGGATGTCAATGGAGGAATAGTCTACGCCTCAAACGTCATGCCCACGGATCGCTGGCTGAACGTCTGATGCATACGGCACTTAGCTGGAAACACTTCAGGAGTTTAAGTCATCATCGGATTGGTTAGATTATACAGGATTTCTGGGTGACGTGTGTGTCGCGTTCTTTAGCGTTCCGCCTGGAAACAAAAATGCAGTGGCGCCAAACCCCCTCATGAAAGATGAAAGCCGTAGTGAGATTTAAAGTTCACTGCATAGAATCTTTAAAATATGTCCGTCCGAGAGCTTTACACACCGGTCTGTTATTGTGGCGACATTTCCATGCCCCTAAACATGACGCAGCACAAAACGAAACGTGATTGGTTGCTTTACCTGTCAGTCATATGGCCTCTTGGGCTACATGAGACTAATGGAGGAAAGGCTTCACTACACTGAATAAACAGCTTTTTAGAGGAAACAGCTCATCATTTAATGAATCGACAGCCTATCGGCTAATCTTCAACATGTTTTACACTAAGCAATACTTTTGGATTGAACCCATTTTAGAGTTTACACTGAAAAAAAATGCGATTTTATAAGAGAAGTGACTGACTTTTTGCGACAGGTGGGATTCAGCTTACAGCACTTCTCATTCATTCCTATGCTATCCGTAAACAGCGATTGAGTGTCACAACTCTGACTGAAATTCAAAGACGTCAAGGTTGTAATGTGATCGGCAGGGGCGCGAGAATATGTTTTCGGTTGGGGGTGCTGTGTGTGTGGGTGTGGGGGGGCTGGTTCACTTACGTCGGTGCTCGTGCTGAGGCTGGTGTTGTTTGGGTGCTGATTTTGGAAAGTTTTTGCTGGGATGGGCATTTAAAAAAATCTGATATTCGCTTTTGCGCCATTATCTCCTTTTTAAAGTTTTTAATACTTTTTTAAAGTATTAAAGTTAATCTTGTTCGCATTCTGTACAGTTCATGTCTGATACCACGCGCTAGCGTCACGTGTTCATGAGGATTAAGCTAATCATCCCATATAGAGAACATCACAAGTAAAATTAATCATGTTTATAAAGATAAACATGGGTTTATTATAGCCCACTTACAATTTACATTTCAGAGATCATTACAAATAAATTATTAAATGCTAAAACTGAATAAATTTAAATGAACAAACTTGGCGTTGCATTTGCAACCATGTGAAAACAGGGGGTGCTGCAGCCCCCTCAGCACCCCTACTTCCCGCGTCCCTGGTGATCGGTTATTAAGGCGCACGTAATCCAAGTAAGCCGTTATGCTTTCTCCAATAGCAAGTAATACAGACCCTCTCATCTCCCAATAGTAAGACAATCTCTGGTATAAATACACGGGGCTAATGAGGAACAGGTGAGGCTAATGAATTACCATGAAACAAATGAGGGTGACTATGGAGGCAGTGAACACTATGTGACTATGAACACTTCCAAATAAGAGTCAGTAAACAGGACAGCGGAACATGTAACAGAACTATCCCTTTAAGTCTGACAGCATTTCTAGCTGGCATCCTTGGCAGCTGCTTTGAGTCTTGATGTTTTTTTCCAGTGTCTTGCGCCATGAATGTTGTTTTTAAGACAGTGTCAGTGTCAACAATGTACTGCAGTGTACTTTTTTTGTACTGCAGGTGCAAAGTTGGATGATTTTGCTGATTTCACAACATTTGGAATAGCAACATCTCTCATCTTAAGGACACCCAGTCTTTTGGATAACATCCTGTGCATGTTGTATGTGCTGTCTGTCTATACTCGTCTCTGCTTCTTCTCTAGTGGTGAGGAACTTACACCAAAATTGTTTTCAACACACACACACACACACATATACATACACATGTGTGTGTGTATATATATATATATATATACATACAAGTAGCACAGCTGTTTGTAACTGTGCATATCACTAAATAAAGTGGCTGTCAGTTAAAAGTGTGTCTGCTGTTTTCTGCAGGAATCCCATTCATGTACCGTGGCCTACCATGCATCTACTCCTCTGCCATCCTGGTGTGTGTTTCTCTGCTGACTGGAGGAAATATGGCAGTACTGAGAATCCTAGCAGTGGCCATGATTCTCTTCATGGTCAGTCAGAACTTCTACCCACATGACAGAGTACTGGAGTCTCAGACCTGGAAGAAGGTGGTCTACATCGGAGGTAAAGCCAGACACAACACTATAAAGTACATCATGAAAAACAGATATTCATTTTGAGATTTGCTAAAGATTGCATTTTAGTAGTGTGAGGTATTGGTGCTTTTAAAGATTAAGCGAGTGTTAAATGTAAAAATAGGGAAATTAGCATGTACAATTAAATATTTACAATTATTTACTGAATAACTACTTTCAACTTTTTTCCCTCTCTTTTTCTAGGAGTTGCCATGGTGTTTTGCTCCTCCTTTCCTCCAGCATGCGTTTACTACTTGTTATGGTCAATTTCCTACATATTGTTTCCAACAACCCTGTGGAGCAGCAAAGTGTAAAGGGGTAATGGCATATGAGGCTTCTCCTTCCTGCAAATGAAAATCAAACCAATTTAGAAACTCGGAAAACTATTTTTGGTAACACTTTCTATGAAGCCCACATTTATAATACAATTATAAGGGTATTCTTAAGGCATTATAATGAATGCATAATGCATTATAAAAACCCTTATAATATGTTATATCATCTTATGAATATTCATAAGAACAGTTTTAATGTTTTATAATATTTACTTATTTGTGGTTATAGCTTTTAAGAGTATGATGATTTATAACACAGTGAACATGTTGCATCCACTTAA